GAAAAAATCTGAAAGTAGCAGCAGAGGGAAAAAAGAAACCCATCGGCAATTGAAATATGTATATAGAAAATGCGCCCTTATTGATTTGGCGAATTGAATGGGGGATGCTGACACTCAACGCTGACCACATCAAATTAAGTTGTGCTTGTTAAAAAGAAGTTCCCTGTCAACATTTTGCAAACTAACAATTGCGCCTGGGAAAGGAGAAAGGTTGGGCTACCCATTGAAATAAAGTCGATGAAAATTATTGAAAACTTTCATACAAAATGTGAATAGTTTGAAAGTTCTGTCAACGGTGCTGCCATTTGCCCAAAAGCTTAATTATGTTTGCCTTAATAATATTTCATACCTTTATCCGAACGTGATAAGAATGTGTTGTCGATTGACCAAACACTACACATTCACTTCATGAAGAATGAGTTTGATGATTCAACAAACTACAGTCAAATTGATGTTCGTTGTGAAAGCCATTGCCAAAGTAATTGTGACGCTTCTGCACATCGATGATAAAACTACCATTTGAATGCATCAATGTCCACGAAGTGAAAATGATGATGCTATTCATTCGTTAATTATAATAATACAATCGAAAACCGACATTGTACTCGATAAAATATTTTCGGTCAGAGTTCGACAATTGCAAATGTGTTCGCTACTCTCTCATTCATTCATTCATTTACTCTCTCTTTCTCCATCATTCTCCTTCTGCGCTCATTCGCTCGCTCTTTTTTTAGTCAGTGAAAATAATAATTAATGCTTCATCCGTTTGAAATATGCAAATCAATGCAAATGCTTCATATTTAAGGTACATTGAATATGAAAATATGATAACAGTAGCTCGAACAGTGCACACTGCACAAATCATATCGATAGAAAGTGAGCGAGATGGAGATGGAGATGAAGATGGAGAGAGAGAGAGGTGCAAACAAAAACTCAATTCGAACACCTTGAAGTGTATCCAGTATAAACGAAAATTTTATTTCACTGGGAAATAAACGTAAAATGTTGAAATATTGAAATGTCACTTGGTACCGATGCTTTTGCAGCCGATAGTTGTAGCAGCAGCATAACTGTGTGTCTTTCTGTGTATGTATGTACTTTAAGAAGAAAAGTTTCAAAGTTGCCGTCGACTTATTTGAGTGTGACTTCATACTGCTGCATGCTGGAATGTTCGTACCAAAACTTGGATTGTCTGTGCATCGTTTAAATATAAATGTACAATTTAGCCCCAGAATGTACAGTACAAACTGTATACAAGTTGCGAGCAACGGCAGTAGCACGAAACAGTAACAGCAAAAGAGAGTCTAAACCGAACACATGAACTAGAAAAGAAATGGAAAAATAATGGTGGATCTAAGGGAGATTTATGCAGCAATGGAAATGAAACTCAATCGTAAACTGACTTTGAAACTGCATAAAGTATTGTGGTATGTGCGTGCGTGCATGTGTGTGTGTGTGTGTGCCACGGTTTGTATATGCCTGTATTGTGTGCTCATTCGCATGGCAAGATTCAAAAGCATTTACATCTAAGTAGCACACCGCAGAAACTTTGTGTTTGCTTTCATTCGTTTGGTTGTCTTTTATTTCGTTCCATTTGGAATGTTCCTTACATTTCTCCCTCTGATCTGTACTATATATACATATATATTCAGCGTCTTCTCTCTTTTGTTCCGTTTTGAAAATCGCATGTTGTCGATTTACACGGAAAAGTGTGTTAATACAGCATATTCCATCAAATGAGTGCGCAGTTGCGAATACAAATACAACTACGACTACGAACACGAACTAGAATACATCGGGGGCTAGCTTTGTCAATGCATCGAAATAATGCTACTCTTTCACACTGAACACAGTCATTCCACATTCCTTTCAAATGAACGAACAGTTGCTTCTCAGCGCTTCTGAGCAATTTCTCTACACAATCCCATCCCACACCACCTATCCGACCGGAACGTTTATGAGAGAATTCCAAGTTTTTCATCCAGCCGCAGCAAATGATGACATACACATGCGTTTGCCTTCACAAATGGAATGTATTGAACACACCTTGATCGAATTGTAACGAAATCAAAAGAGGCAAACGATGAAATACCAATCTAGCGAAAATCATGCAGCTCAATAGATGATTTCAATTTCAAATGTGACCGTCACCAAGACTTGTTAGCTGTGATAGCAATAATCAAATTCACTTGAACATCGCAATAACGATAACAGGCCCACATGCGCGCGCACGCATATTCCAACAACGGAAAAAGAAACTAGTTTTTCTTTTTGCTAGAAATTCCTCGACATCTTAACTCAAGATACGATCAAATAGTTTTCTGAATTTTAATGTGGGTAAATGACGATGAAAACTTTACCTTTGCTAAGTGCAAACATATCTACGTATTTTATGCGTAACCGTAAAGTTTTATCGTTGATGTTCATGTGGAGTGGTACAGCATTTTTTTACGTGTGTACATATTAGAATATTTCTAAATAATCAGAGAAAGCAACAGCAATTTTACGTCGATTTGTATGTCTTTGGCTGGCTGTCACAATGTATTTTGCGGAATTGCAAAGTCAGAGCAATCACTTAACAGTGTTGAAATTCGGTGACTCGATTTCGTTCTTTTTTTCTTTCGTCGTTTTTTCGTTGTTGTTGCTGTTTATTTAACGTAAATTGTGAGAAAATCGCTTATGCAGAATGCTTATATTCGAGCAATGAGTGTGCGCTCAGCTTCATATGACAATGAAATCAGTTATCATTATCACTCGAGTTATTCGAATTGAAGACAAGAAGAAAAAGAAAGGAAGAAGAAGACGAAAAGAGAAAAAAAAACCCAGCCAGAGGAACGCATTACAAATGTACATTACACACATTAAAATGGAAAATCGGCGGGTAGTTGGGCGGGTATGCTCATCGCCTGGTTTGCCTTATAATGTTCGCTACGCAGATATGTAAAACTCTAACGAGATTTACATCGTGAATCGTATGTTTATACCACGATGTGAATTTAAATTTTTTTCTTCTCTTTCTTCCATTGCTTTTGTTGCTTGATCCGTGCGCTGATACAAATCAACTGTAGTTTTTGTAATGTTTTGGGAGACGATGAAGAGAAAGAGTGAGTGGCAGATGGAGGGGGTGAAAAAAGACAGAATAATAGAAACGTAAAAGGCTTAACACTGGCTGCTGCCTGAATTCAAAATGATGAAACTTAATATGTCATGTATCACAGATTTTCTCCGAGAATGAATAGACATACACACACACACACACATACGCAAAAAAAGCGAACGCTTGCTTCTTTCTCCCTCTTTCAATCACTCACACAAGGAATAACATACGGATTTATCTCATCATAAGACTTAAAGTTGCATTTTATAAGCTTAGTTGGGTCTCCCGACTGAATCAATTCTGATTTACTGTGATTTCAATCACGTTTTTTTTAAGGTTTCAAACTTTCCGTTTACTCAATGTTTTTGAATTATGAATGCGAAACAATTTAAAATCTTAAAGACAAATATTTAACATATGCAAATGAGGCATTATCAGTACGGCATCAGTGGTGGATGTGAAAATTCAAATGTACATATGATCAGTTTTTTGTTCACTTTTCTAACGTTTCGAGGAGGGGGCGAGATATACATACATCATACTAAAAAGCCGATGCTTTGAATTTATCTGGCTTTGCCAACCCACACCAATTGATGTATTGAACATTACATGGTGTTTCGAATAGTAGATGGCAACTGTAAAGGTGAACATTTGCCGAAACATTCAAATTTTTCGTTCCGATTGACAACGAAATCCCACGATCATTTTTTATTTGAATGTTTCAGTTCGCACAGTTTTGAAACAGAAAATGACAATCATCTCACGTAGCCTCCGAAATATGTATGGAAAATGTATTGACAAAATGTGAAATATAAAGATACTTACTGCTTGCCACACACACACACACACACACACACACACACACACACACACAATATTTTATATTGGATTAGGCGTTTTTCATCGTCATTGTGTATCTTTGCAAGTTCAGCAGGAACAGCATCGCATTGTCGGTATAATCCAAACTGTGTATGATGCCATCTTATACAATATTGATTTACTTTTCATTCGATATATGGATGCTTTTTATTCAAAATGATTCTCGATACCGGTGCTCTGTTTTTCATGCTCTGATCCATGTGGAAAATCGGCACAACCGTCGTGATATACAAAGGAATGGAAGAGAATTGGGAATGAAAAGAAATTGCCCCTGATTTCGATTCTTATCCAGAAGATGAATAATAACAATAATAATAATGGAGTGTCTTAAATTATTTTTTTCGTACTTGAAGTGCACAGCAGAATGAATGGTGCTGCCAATAAATGATGCTGAAAAATGAGCAAACAATGTGAAAAAATGAAGTAAATATATTTTTATGCAATGTGAGAGAGGGAGAAGGAGAGGAAGAGCGAGCGAAAGGTATAAGCACATACGCTTACTCACTATTTCACCTGGAATTAGATTGGCAAAGTTCAGTGCAAAACGATTTCGATTCACACTTAAATGTATTAATAATACAATACTCTCCAGAGCCCGAGATTCGAATCCAGAATCGAATACCATGTACTACTGCGGATGTGCTACAGTCGCTCCATGCGCAAATGTATGAATGTGCCGGAATAGATACGAGTGCGATAGATAGATAAATAGATAGTATGAAGAGATGTATGGAATGCGAATGTTGAATATGAATGTTATTATTATGGCTGTTGGTGTTTTTTTTTATGATGATAAAAAAAAGTATAACACATTACACAGCCATCGTTTTCCTATTTATTGCATATTAGAATATTGTGCAACGTATGTTCACATTTCCCCCATAATTTAATAGAGACGGTCTTTTACCACTTGTTCCCATTTATACGTGATGTATATTTTTTTTTGTTTCTTCATCCATTCATACAGAGATATTTCATCATACAATAACTTCTTGTTGCTTCATTTCTATTTCTCCCATTTTAGATTTCTGATGATGATCGTATGAGCTTAACAACTGCTGTATCCGATGAAGATGACGGCGAAAGTGTCATGGCATCACCATACAAGGCAAAAGCAACAGGAACGGCAGCCGCTTCATTTAATTGTACCGGTGCTGTTCGAAAGGCTGGGTAAGGCTCTTCGTTCTGTTTGATTTCCATTCTTTTAATTTTTTTCTCGTTAACAATTCATTTCACTCACATCCAAGCTCAATTCACCTGTCGATTTTCATTGCAATATTACGAGATTACACGACACATAGAGAACAGACACAAAAAATTAGCAATACCAATGACACAATATATTTCACTGTGGAAATTGAGCATAAAATCTCTTCCCTCGTGTAACGGCTTAGTTTAGCCAAATACTCAACTCAATTCTTCTCAACACAAACCAACAATTAAACAGTTGACGATTGTTCTGCTCAATGGAGAATTTGAATTGAAACAGCATTAGCTGAGAAACATAGAGCGATGTTTATGTCATTACAATTCAACTGCTATGGTTATTCACAAAAATAGCCTCGGCATTCATTTCAAATGCAAACAAAAGTCATCTTTTTATGAAAGAATTGTCTTAGTTTGGTATCTTTTCTGTAGCTTACTTTGCTCTTGTTAGTTTTCGCGTTTAAACGCAAAGTTCTACGAGTATTCCTTTAAAATTGCATTGTCCATTTGAGACGACTTTCAGCTTGCAACGGGACTCGCCGTTTTGCAATTATGTTTAAACAAATAAAAAGATACATAAAATCCTTTCTTGCCCCAAGTCGTTCCATTAAAAATGCTCATAAAGTTTTGAATTTCTCATAATAATAATGATGATAATAACTGCGCTTCTTATTATTGGTTTTGGCGATGATTAAATGGAATGATGTTTTATCGATCGTTTCAATTTTCTCCCTTCGCTCGCTCTCTTCCTCTGTTTTTGACTTCGTACGAAAAAATCAACATCTCATTATTCAAGAAGCTTGGAATTTGATAGAATTTTTTTTTTGATTATTCAGCCAAAGTTTATAGGAATCTGGCGAAAATTTGTATTTATATTTTGTTCTTTCGTTTTCTTCTCGATATTTTTTCATTTGTGCAATTTTTCCCACCACGTTCCTCCGTGCCGCGTATGGATTTTAGATTTTTATCTGTGAAAAAGTGGCTGTTACGTAAAAAGCATCAAATCGAATTGGCACGCAAGCGAGGATGGAAGGGCTATTGGGTTTGTTTGAAAGGAACAACTTTATTGTTTTATCCATGCGATTCGCGAGAGGGTCGCACCGTCGATTCAGCACCAAAGCATTTGATTATCGTCGATGGCGCCATTATGCAGCCAATACCCGAGCATCCAAAGCGCGACTACATATTCTGTTTGAGCACTGCATTCGGCGATGCGTACCTGTTTCAGGCTCCGTGCCAGGTAAGACAAGATTTATCAAAACTTTGTTGTTCGCATTTTAAAATGCGATTTATTAAAAAAAAAAAATAAAAAAAAAATGAAATTGCATTTTCGAAAAGAAGAAACAACAACTAGAAGTGAAAAGAAAATAGCAGACGAACGAACGATTACAAGATTGAAACACTATACTATTTACAAGTACAGTACGCCCCCGCAAATTAGAAACCCGAGAATTAGAAAACCTCAGAAATTAGAAATGAAATTCAGGTTTGAAAATTTGTATGGAAAATTTCTAATTTCCGGGGTTCATTTCTAATTTACGGGGTTTCCGAATCATTTCATTCAAGACAAAGGGAAATTTACTTCATTTTTAATGAAAAAGCGTAATTGAAGTCTTTTCCATTTCGTTGAATAACTATATTAGTAGATCAGCTTGAGATTTTCGACGTTTACCATGAAGTTAAAAATTAAGTCAAGAAGTAATCTGTTCCATATTGTCTGCGTCAATCATCAATCATTAACAAATCGAAACCGATTTGTTACATAAGAGAATTTGCATATACAAAATTGTATATAGAATGCTAACGTTTTGATATAATAAGAACAGCCATTTATTCCGGTCATCATTTATTTCGGTTCGTTCCGAGGAGTAGTTTATCCAGTAAAATAAACTGACAGACTTACTATATATTTATAATCACTAAAATAACAGCTTATAAGCATTTATTTACATACAATACTTGATTGAACAGTGTTCAATATATTGTTTTCAATCAAGCAAATCATTCCCCCTATCAGTTTTTCATTTGATACACCGTTTTTGGATGAAATTGAAAAAACCTCAGAAATTAGAAAACCTCGCAAATTGGAAATGGTCTCAGAACATTTCTTTTCTAATTTGCGGGGGCGTACTGTATGTTTCGAAAGGTGCTTGTGTTAAATTGGGCGTCACTAAGCACAAACACAAATATTCTGACTCTACTCTCGAAAATTATTTCTCAATTCAATTTTGTAGCTTTTTAATATGGATCCAAGACGAATTTGCTTCATCTTCTCCCTTCATTCAACATATATATCCATTTATAGCATATATACGTATGGCGTATAGAAGTTTCAATTCATCAATATCATGTCATAAACAAGCGATACTCGCAAACTTTTCCCTTTCTCTCCAACTAAGATAATAAAGAAATAATTAAAACTTTTCTCCATTTCCACTTCCCGTTGACTTTCTCCACACTCATTCTCTCTACAAATCAATGAGACGATAAAAAAAATCACATTTTCTCGCCATAGTACACACACTTACCTTCTCTCTCTCTCTCTTTGTCCACCAAACACAGCGACTTTGTGTGTTCATTTTGTGCTCGCTCACACGAAGCATGGCACGCTAGCATTTAACAATACAAAGATATTTCACGCTGTTGACCTTTTAACTTTATGGAAATAGAAAAAGGGAGCAGTCATGAGAAAACGGGCTTCTATGACTAAATCACTGGTGCTTCCGAGAAATACCGCTTTATGCGAAACTTCATAATTAATTTTGTGTGAGTTATTTTTCGAATGATTCTCTTGGTTTGAAAATAAAATATAAATCGATGCCGATGTCGATAAGTTTAGTATCTGCTTGAACGGGCACACATACGTAATGGGAAATCGTAATCTCTTTATTTCGACCCCGATAATTCAGTTTTCAATATCAAATTTGCTGATTTCGACAATTTTCACGTTTTTGCACACAAAAAAACTGCATCCGCACCAATCCAAAATGGGAAATGGACCAACTTGCAAATGCATTCCGTTCCAATTCATATATTTTATTTGAGATAATGCAATTAAAAATCTGTCAGCGAACAAAGTGTTCGCTTGGATGCATAAATTTCTCGTTTAATACCCGCAACCAGGTGGCGAGTGCGCCACGGCGAGATGATTCGCCATCTCTCCGTCCCATGTACAAAAGTGAGATGGCAAACGAGTGTAATTGAATATTTAGTTTTGTATTGAGTCGAAATCCGATAAATAATTTTTTCCATCGGCAGATTGTGCTGATTTGCACACAAACCCACACATACACAGTGGCCAGGTCGATGAAAACCTATAAATTCCGAAGCTATGATGGTGAAAATTGGCGATAATAAGGATGCACAGGATATTACACAACAGCGCAAATATTCACTCTATCCCATTCTTTGCATCCGCACCACATTCACTCTCCCAACGCTGTCTCAATCTTTTCTAAAAACAATTTCCTCAGTCACTTATATTCAAAGAGGTCGTACTTTGTGTGAGCAATGTACGAAACTAATTTCACAAAGTCGATTTTCATCGCCAAGCTATAGGATTACTTTTTCACTATTTCATCCCGTTCCAATTATTCTTTTCTAATGTATTCTCTCATTTCTATTGCATTCTTTACATCTTTGTGCTGACGCTCATGACGACACATTTACGGATAAAAACTATAACAACGACAACGAAAACGACGGCGATGACTGCAACGACGTGAACTGCATACACACATACAATACGAAAACGAACGAAACAAAAAAAAATACCCGTACACACATACTAAATCAACACTTACTTGTGTCTAACGTGATGAATCACTTCAACTCGCTGATGTTTCCTTATTTTGTTGGTGTGCGTAATTCAGGTGGAATTGGAGAATTGGGTGAATAGCATTCATAATGCTTGTGCAGCTGCATTCGCACGTCATCGTGGCAAAACCGGAACACTCCATTTGTTACAAGAGGAGATCTATCGTTTGGAAAGGGCCATTGAATCGGTAAGCTTTTAAATTCGTTTCAACTTGATTTGAAAACTCGGCAGGCAGCACTATATGGTGCAGCACTTGCTCTCTTTTTATAAATACATTTGCGTCTCTGTTTCTATCATTTGCTCTTTTGTTACAAAATCATCAGTTGTGTGCTTTTATTTCATTATATATATATATATATATATATATATATATTTATATATTCCATTTTTACGTCTTTGCGTGTTGGGATCGGCAATGGCACTTGTTCTCGCTGGTTTTAATAAAACACAGTTTTACTCTAACAACATCGGCTACATTTGTAATTAAAAAATTTACGAACTTTTACTATCAACTATATCGTCAACTATTCACACGCTTTTCGAGCTCGAATTGTGGGCTATCGCAAAATGATCAAGCTTCAAATTAAGGAAAGTTCAATTTACCACTTCAAATTCCTTGACATCCAGTCGACTTATCATAAGACAGGTGCATGAGTGCACTAGAGAAATTTCGACAACGATTCGGTCGTTTATTATTTTAGCTCAAAGCTAACTCGATTGCATGACTACGATGGCAACAACGACGGACTCGTCTCTTTAGTGGCTTATCCGATGCTAACGGGCAAAAGTTTACGATATGAGTGCAGAATAAAAGTCAAAAAGAATGATTGCACATTTCATAAAAATTTAGCAGCGCTAGCAATAGCAGCTGTGTACACAGCACGGAAGAGAACCGAAAGAGACGGGGTGGGATTTGGTGTTCCCGATCAAATGAGAAAAGATCAAAATCAATTCAAGAAAAGATGTTTAAAATTTGTGTTTTACAATGATGAGAACCGATCCCATGACACCTATAGATCGTTTACACAACGATGATTCTATTGTGTGCCATTTTTCTTCATATTTGATTTGAACTCTTTGTTGGCGTTGCTGCTGCTATTGTTTTGTTTCTTTTCTTTTTCTTAATGGCACCATTGATATTGCACGTGGTGTGATGATGAGTCTGTTTCTATTGGCGCTACTGCTACTGCTGCTCTTGCCAGAGTTCTTTACAAATTTTAAGTGCACTCCACTTTTTCATCACATTATATAACTCCTGATAACAGACGGTGCACGTGTTACAGCGAACAATGTGGTTCCTCTTGTGTTTGAGCTGTGCCATTTAATCTATGGGAAGGCGATGTTTGAAGATTGCTTTTTTACCATCGTTGTTCCGTTTTTTTCCCCTATTTTTCATTTAGTTTTTTTTTCTTCTTTTCGATTATTTTTTCTGCTGTTGCCTCCTCACTTTAAAAGTGCATTTTTGTTCTCGATCCGAACAAACATAAAGGAGCTACTTCAATATGTTATAGAAAAAAAATACAAATTTATGCTTGTTTTCCACACACACACACACGGTTCAATCGTTGTTGGCATACACAACAGCATCCATTCAGTCTGGCCCTGGCTATACCTTTGGTCGGCCTGTGATATAATGGCCCAAGCTATTTTAATCGATTTGCCGAGTGTAACAAAGGAAATTTGATTAAATAGAAAATTCGGGTGTGTTGGTAACAAAATATGACCAGAAAAATTTATGGTATTTCCATTCGAACCGTTTTCATCAGCCAGATGCACGGAATTTTTTGGGGAGCTAATTCAGTTGGTTGGCAATAACAGCTCTCGATGTTTAATTTAGAAATTATGCTAAATTATTTGTGTCTACGGTTTGTTTGCGCATATTCTTCAAATATTTCGTCATTGGATTCGATTCGCATGCATGAACACATATAAAAAGATTTTGAAAGCCCAAAAAATGTTGGAATTCAGAAGCCACAACAATGCCTCGAAGCCGCGGTTCTGTTATACACAACAAAATATTCTAATGCATAGACAAACCAGGTGTTGTCTATTGTCTCACCAAGATTTTTTTTTTGCACCCGTTGTTTGTTTTTTTTTTTTTTTTTTTTTCATTTTCGGTTTGCTTTCTCCCGCGAGCGCCATAAACATATGACTTTCAAAATTTATAATTAAATAAGAGAAGGAGAGCAAAACAAATTTAATTAGGACAGAATGGTATAATTGTCTACAGAGTTAAATACAGTTGAATGGAGATTAATTTTCGGTGTGTGTTTGTGTGCAAGAAGCGTCGCAATTCGATTTTCAGACATGCCAACGCACGGCGCGCATGCACACATACCCAGTGAATTAATGAATATAGACATTTTTCAGTAAATATACGCTTTAAAAGTCATGCACAAAATGAGATACCAAGAATTCAAATAAATCACTGACTGCGTTCTGCTGCCACCACTTCCTCTTCCTCTTCTTCTCCCTTTTTTCCTCGGGATTTAATTCGTTTGTCGGGATGTAAAACGCATTCTAAAAAGCATTGAACAATCGTATATGACATGATGAATGCCGTGCTCAACCACATTTTCCGTTGTGCAAACAACATTTTGCGTACATTTTGTTATCATGGTTCATGGAGTGTTCAAATGCGTTCAGGACTGTACGTATTGCTTGTTCATTAAATTGAAACTTCTATAAAATATATACCACTCGTCGGCATAATCAAATTACGTCAAAACCAAAACCAGCAAATAAATTTATCGCACGCAGTCATTCATTCATATGAGATTTGCAGAAAATTATTTAGAAATAAAAGAGAAAAAAAAATGTGACTGTGGTTCGTCACATTAAACAAACTAAATCAATTAACTAACCATTTTCTTTTAAGTCTAAGAAAAAATTGAAAATTGCATCTCTCACATGGTAAAAATCGGAATAAATCAACACATTCGGTAGTGTTATGAAATCAGCTCATAATGGTCCGCTTCACTCCACCCACACTTTGCAAATGCTGATAATAATTAACCCAAGCCACAGTTTTTTTTATTACAAAGTTTTGGTTTCAGGCAAATATTTAAATCGTATCTGTAGGGATCATTCATCGATATGCAACCACGTTGAATGTAGATATTTGATTTATTCTATGAGAGGAAAAAAATTTATGGTGAAAAATGAAAAAAAAAACGGAGAGAGAGAGACACACACATTTCACAATTGAAATTAATTAAAATAAAATTGCAACAGTTCGACAGACGCCGTAACCAATTCAAAAACGAAAAATTGTAAATATTTCGCCGAAATATATTGATTCAGTGTGTCAGAGATATAAATATAAACAACAACAACATTAGTAATGGTAGCATCCCTCTCTATCGCTTTCTATCTTTTTCTTTCTCTCTCTCTCTCTCTCTCTCTCTCTCTCTCTCTCTCACACACATACATTGTTTAATTGCAGTGGTTAACCTGCACTCAATTGAACAGAATAGACTTTTTGTTTGTTTACTTGCAATTACAGCAAACACGTTATACATCGTTTGATTGTGATTTTGATCATTTGGCCCAATTATTAAATCGACGATTTGTGTTTACGATAACCGCGACAAAATGGATCTACATCTCCCCCTCTCTATGTTTTTTTTCATGGCTTTTTTCTGGCTTCGTCTCTTACGCTAAATTAATTCGCAGTGCGAAATTATATTCGCCGACGAAATAAATTATGAAACCATAAATGGCAGAAAATTCAAATTTTCATAGTCGACACACACACACACACACACTATCAGCCGAGCATCGTTAACCGAAAAATGTTTATGTATGTAAATATCTGATCATGCCAGATATGCATCTACAACATGCCATATATTAAAATTCAAAATCAGAACTCGTAACAATTTATCAAATTATGTTCGTGTTGCTTCTTCGGTTTTCCTTTTTCTGGTGCAAAAATTCGCGCAATTGAAGCATGTATACTCATAGAAAGAGAGACCAAGAGAGATAAAGAGAAAGTGGAAGAAAGATAGATAGTGTGAGAAATGGCACAAAGGAAAAGCACTAAAGATGAAACATAAATGAAGACGTAGTACAGCGCGGTTGCGGCAAAATATTTCAAAATAGTAAAATATTCCAGTTTCAGCAAACGCGTTCATAGTCGAAAAATGAAAGCAATAAAAGGAAATATGAAATAAAGCCAAACAGTAAAATTTATTGTAATTGTCGATAAACATAATTTATGGATCCGATATCGATTCAGAGAGAACCAAGCGTATTTTTCGTTCGCACAAATGTTTTGCTTTAACACCAGCATTTTCAACGAAGAAGAGGGAAAAAAACGGTTACAATAACAACAACCACTTCTAAAAGCTCTATTGAATTTATAAAAGCTACAAAACAAATAGAAATGGGCTAATTCGTTTTTGGTTTCTTTTTTTTTACGTGTAAAAAAAGATCGAATTTCTGACGCTGCAATATAGATGAGCACTGACGCCGTTGGTGCGATGAAATGCTGCGAACACGATGCAGACCGAAAAAAACACAACCACTAGCTATAAGCGTAAAAAATACACATTATCTATGTGGTAAATTGCATAAAAACATCTATTTATCTGGTCTGAGTATCAAAACATTATGTATCGTAATCATTGTAGAAACAATCGATTTCCGTCACATAAACGCATACACACACACACACACACACACACATTTTCTCCCTATCTCGTTTAACATACAGAGTATCGAGAAAGCAGCACATACAAATGATATACATCGGCACAAATCTTTGGTAGACAGGACAAAATACAACCATACACTATATTGGCATCAGTATTTTCGATAATTTTCACTGTGTCAGCGCAAATTAATTTAATAAAATTAAACCAAATGCAATTATTTATTGCAAATCTGAAGCTACAGCTACGATTGACGATAAATTAAGTATGTACAGTAGGGTGTTTTCGGCATCGTTTAATCAAAAAATGGTTACTCTCATTCGATAGATCTCAGAATTCTGAGTCGATTGATAATATTTTTGTCGCGGATGGACTTGTGATGACACTTCCCGAAGCTGAAAACAAAAAAAGTTTTATTCTGAATTTCCATAGTAACCTGTGACAACCAGATTTGATTTGGAATTTGAAAACAAAAATTTGACAAGAAAACATAAAATTGAATCTAGTTGTCACACGTTACTATAGAAATTCA